CCTCTACCGCCATATCCACCAACCCTTCAATCCCCACCATCGTTCCGTTCCCTCCACCTCCTCCCTCATCCGGCGCATCAAGCACACCGCCTTATTCCTCGCCCATCAAAGTCACCCCTCTTCCCCCCCCGCACTCCCAAACCCTCTCCCAACCCATCATAACCACCTCCACCATCCCCACCATCCGTCCCACCTATTCCCAAGTCACCTCCGGGGCTTTCCCCGCAATGCCACAACTTCCCCCCAGCTACCTCCTTGAGGACAACAACCAAATCGACCACACCTGCTACGACACCACCCCCAATAACCTCAGCTTCAACACCCTTGCGCAGATCGTTCACCGCGACGGGGAAATCCCCCATTCCTTCCGATCTGGCGAAATCATGTCCTTCTCCGGCCTCCCCCACGAGGACGTTTTCCTCTTCCTAACCCAGCTTCAGAACTCTTTTCAGCTCCACCACATGCCCCTTGCCCACTGGCTCCCCATTGCCACCTCCCGCCTCCTCGRCAATGCAGCCAAATGGTGGATGGCTGAAGCTAGCAACCGCCGAGCCTCCGGAGGACCACGCTACACCTTCCTCCAATGGGCCACCCTCCTCACTGCCACCTTCCGCCCCCAGAAAACCAGTGACGACTACCTTGAACAATTCTGCCACCTCCGCCAGACCGGTCCCACGGACCGCTTCGTCCAATACGTCCGCTCCCTCCGACACCACCTCCCCCACACCGTCATTCCCGACTGTGCGTTCATCTCCCGCATCAAACGAGTATGCCACAAAGACCTTGCAACCGCCCTCGCCCACGAACATGACATGCCCCTTGCTGACCTCCTCTCTTGCATGCTCCACCACGATCGACTCCTCCACCCCCACCACCARGCCCCCCCCGGCACCTCCCGCACCCGCTTTTCCACCACATCACCCCCAAAGACACCACCTCCATCACTTCCTCAGACAAGTTCACCACATCTGACCCCGACGCATCTTTCGATTCACTCGACTTTTCATCCCTCACTTCCGAGGAACTCGATGTCGTCCAGTTCATGAGAATGGAGCGCAGAGATCGCAGCTCCCGACCACCCTCATCTACCCCACCCTCCCGCCTCAAAAAGCTCACCCCCGAGGAGCGCACCTACCTCCAAGCAAAAGGGGGTTGCTTYCGTTGTCGCCAATTGGGGCACCAACAAACCAACTGCCCCAACGCCGCACGATTCACTCGTCAGTCCGCCTCCACGCGACCCGCAACCTCCGCATCACCGCCCTCGGCAAGCGCGGGCCCCTCCTCATCATGAACACAGTCCCAGGACACTGACCCGACATCAACATTGCATCTGTCAGCCTACCCATCGGTGACATCCTTCGTCGCACCGATGGGCCATCTGACATCGACAATTCGTTTGCCTTCCCCCTCTCCGGCGACGCCTCCTCCACCGGACGATTCCCAGGCGTCGCAAACACCTCCCACTGCCTCATGCTCCTCTACCCTTCCTCCAAATGCATCCACTATCACCTTCTCCGATGTTGT